CTCTCTCTCTCTCTCTCTCTCTCTCTCTCTCTCTCTCTCTCTCTCTCTCTCTCTCTCTCTCTCTCTCTCTCCATCTTTCTTTGTACAAACATCATCTTTCGGTCTAACCCAAACCACTCGAGAGAAAGATCAAACCTTCCGAGAGCCAAAAATACAACCGGAGTCGTCCCGCACACAGTCTACATTGCCTAGTGTTACAAGAACAGGTTCAACTAAGGGAAGAGCAACAGAAAGAAAACGAAAGAAGAGCAATCTTAGAAGAAAAAACACCAAGGAACTGGAAAATAACCCACTAAACCAAACAAAGATCGAGTCATTCAAGCAGTTGGCAACTCCGCCCAGCAGGAGCCAAGCCTCGGAGCCCAAGAAACAGCGGGACACATACCACGGCAAGCGAGATCCCGCTAGGGCATCCAAGAACCGCAGATCCGGCCGCAGGAACTTCACCGCGGAGGTTCCCCGAACCCTAGGAACCCGAATCGACCTCCCGGACAGCAATGCCAGAGGGGGAGGGGGAGGGCGAGGGGGAGGGGTTGGGTTTGGGTTTGGTACCGGGGAGGAAGAGAGGCAGGCAGGTGTACTGTGGGAGAGAATAGAAAATATAAGGAAGGTGGATTGGGAACCCTATTTTTGCATCGCTTTCCAATTCGTCGAAACCCGAAGCTTTTTGTGTGCACTGTTGCGAACGACAACCAATTACAATAATAATTGCCTACGAGTAGCAGCAGCTGCTGCGAGCAGTACGGTGAGGTGTGTGCAATGATACTAATAATATATGCGTTTGCTTGGTAATAAAAATACTTGAGTCCAAAGAAAAGAGAGAGGAGTCGTTTTGCTTTTGTTTTGGGCCCCCCAACACACGCAGAGTCTTGCGGTTAAATCCCTTCGTAACCCAGCAAGCGGGGTGTAAAGTCGGGAGCTTTTTGGCGTGGATGAGTTGGGTGTGTGGGCGCCGTAGGTGGGGGTGGGGCCCGCGACGGGGCATGTGAGCGGTGGGGGCCAGCTTCGCCATTTTTTTCCCAAAAAGGAAAAATGAGACCACAGATAAATATTTTAAAAAAAGAATAATTAACTGATAAAAATATTAATTGAAGAAAACGATGAATAAGTTTGTGATCGATAAAGATTTTGTATTGGTAATTTTTCTCCTCTTTTTTTTTCTTCGACAAAGATATATCGAAAAACTAATTTATGTCTAATAAATCCTGAAAACTTTAGATGGAATTTTGAGATGTAATTTATAATTAATTAGAAAAAATAATTACAATTTTACGTGTTTTATTTTTTTGACCCTTAATTGTTCCTTTTTCTTTTCCCTGAAATTTCTCCCCCTTCCTCTCCAGATTACACTCCCAAGTCAACTCTGGTCAAAATTGCTGACCTTTACATTACCCTGAGAAATCCATCGACGGTCAAACTCGTACAGGAGTATATATACGACGTCTTGGCACACACAAACACCATTTCCGATCCTACATTACTGTGGTCCTCTTTTTCTTCTCCTCTTTTACTTCTTTACTCTCTCTCTCTCTCTCTCTCTTTCTCTCTCTCTCTCTCTGTGGAAACCTACCCGTGAACCAGACATGTGAGCAGGCACTGTCGTGACGTACCCAGCTCAGACTTATCTTTTCCTCCCTTGCCTCCATTGTGGGCCAAAGCTCTGATGGGAATCATCGCTTTCGGGAGCACCATGGATGAAACCTCTCCGGTCCATGCATTGTTTGCAAGCCAAACGGAGGAACCATGTCTTCCTTGACATGATATTTGACAGCCATTGCAAGTATGTGTGTGTGTGCGCGTGAAGAAGAAGAAGACATTGACCACCTCCATCACAAGGCTTCAGTTTGGGAGGGAGGGAGGGAGGGAGGATGGTGTTGATACTGACATGTTATAGCTACGGCATACAAAACTTTGGCAGCTTCGAAGGATGTCCAAAGCCATTGACTGCAGCTGAAGTACTTGTTTCTGTTCATGTTGCAGTTAGCATTAGCATTGAGGATTAGGTTCGAGCTTGCAGATGCATAGCTTCAGGCCAGAGGCATTTGCAGCACAAAATCTATTAAGCTTGGGAAGAACTATTTTGCCAGGACAAGCAAGTAGCACTGCAAAAAACCTTTGATGGAGCTCTCTGTTCATCTGTTCTCGAGTTATCAAGATCCTGCTATTCGATTCTCGATAAGTGAATCTAACATAACTAATACAAGAAATGTATTAAGAACAAAACCATTATTTGGAAGAAAACAAAAAAAGATCCCCTTTTTCACTCATTAATTGCTTAAAAACTTAATCTAGGATAATGAACATGGATCCCCTGGCAAAGGATGGAGCCAAGACTGATCATTACTGAGGGGCCAACAATGGATTTGCCACTAAAATAGAAATCATGCATTTCTGTCAGTGAAAAGGAAGAACAAGTAGTTCATCTTGGTTGAACTCACAATAGAAAAAACAGGGGAAACCAGCAGTTGGGTTACATACTGCAACACTTGTGAACAATTCAACAATCGAGGCATATCTTCTTATTTCATAATGTCCAGTGTATGTGTTTGCAGCTGAATCGGATGCAGTGTCTATAATTTCAGAGCTAAACCCTCTTGATCTTGTCAGGTTAAATGGATCACTCATCCAATTAGATTAGAATAGCTATGCAAAATTGGACTGCTTCAGTGCAGCATTGTGTACCTGATCATATATATGCTCCTCGAAAGAGAGCTTCCATGCTTAACACAATCTCAAAGAGAAGAAAGATATCTGACACTAGATTTGTTAGGATTGATGCATCATCGGTCATATGTTCAGCAAAGGGCCTTTGGAGAAGAATCACATGTGGACAAGGAAGGAAAAGTTTCATGGCCCATTCTAAACCTCAGTTTTCCATGGAAAAATTGGCTTTAAAGGTTGGAATCTTTCTTATTCATTTGTTTCAAATCTTCTAAGCTATTTGTTTAAGCAATTAATTTACTTGTCGGCCTCCATAAAGAGATTATTTCCTCGACTCGAATAGATGCTTAAATCTGGAGAGAGAGAGAGAGAGAGAGAGAGAGAGAGAGAGATCCATAACTATCGAGCATTGACAGTCATCAGTCAGATTAAGCCGTACTAACAAACATACTAATCATTGAGCTATCACTGCATCTCCATAGCGTGATTGACCAAGAAACAGAGAGTTTCCATCTTCTTTGAGAGATCACAGGCACATGACAATGGAGATGTTTGACGGGCACTACTACTGATCACTCGCCTACTTTCTTGTGCACTTTGTTCAGCTGTGGTCAAAAGAAGCCGCCACTACAGAGCTTGCTTTGTGCCAGTGGCCAAATTCTTTCCCTCCACCTGGCACTCAAACCTCACTCCATCAAATCAGTATGTGCTTGGCAGCAGATCAGGCCTATTCCGATGCTTTGTCACAAAGGGGGAATGCCTTTTAAGATGTTGAATGATGCGCACGGTTCAGAATCACAATTTGCATCTCCCTCGGAAGAAAACAAAAGAGAAGCTCTTTTCAGTGTACCTAACAAGTCAATGTACTGCAAAGTAGACGTAAGAAGACGAAGAAGTAGGAGAAGAAACTAGCTGGCAATGTGGGTTGGGCAGCAGTCGATTGGATCAATGGCAAGAAAAAAGAGCCAAAGAAATCTCTTTTCTTTCGCTGCATGTGCTGCTGCATGAGATCTCCCTGCATGGCACAAGCTGAAACCTAAAACCAATCTCCGATCACGCACGTAAAGGCAAAGCAAAAAGGAGGAGTAGTGTGTGCTTCGACTTCACACGGTGGTCTCTCCCTTCTTCGAGCTTCTAACACGGAAAGGGAAATGGCATGACGACCATCTGTGCAAGTGCATGTGTTCTGACTCTCGCTTTATTCTGAGCGCGACCTCTATCTTTTCTTCAAGTACTCTTTCTTCCTGTTCTTCTTTTCCGGTTGATCTTGACTGGGATTTGCTCACTGTGGCTTCAGCTTACGCTGAGGCGAGGATGTCACAGTCCACTCCATGCTGCGAATGGAGATGAGCATAGTGTTCGTCCTCATCCTGTCTGCGATCAGATGTTTACGTGCACCATGGAGAACAGTGATGAAGCTCCATTCATGAGGTCCAGGTAAGCGCAGTAGCCCCAAAGTCATCAGAGGATAAGGATCAACCATCGGAATCCAATACCAATGCAACACAGCTCCAGTAGAAGTTGTGGGGGAAGAAAGAAGAAGCATTGTGGACCTCAGATTTACATGATTCAGCATTGCTTTGATGGTTTGTCATGCTTTCTCTCACATTTTTCCAAAGAAACTCATCAGAAGATACAAAAAGTGCTCATTTTACACATTCCCTGTGAGATGATTAGATTTATATTCATTGGATGAATTCCTATATTTTTTTACTAATATTCTAATTCATGAAAGGATAATGACAATGATAGAGTAATGGTTGGTACAAGATTTACATGATTTGATATTTTTTATTTATATTTAAAAAAAAATCATGATATGTTAATAAATCAATTTGAAGTCCACATTATTTAGATGATTTTTCTAGAAAAGATCACCATTTTTGTTTTTCCTGGATAGTGTCCCCCTAATTCAAAATACATCCAAATTATTTTTCAAAAAGTTGATTGTGTGTTTTTGCTCGTTATAATATTTTAGTCGTAATAATAAAAACACTATAAAGTCTATACTTTAAAATACTATAAATGATCAAAATACATTATAAACCATTTGATATATCATGATAGGATTCAAATAGGTATTTATAATAGTTTAAGAATAACATTGCTTAAATATGAATCGAAAATTAGCTTGTCATAATATTTTAGTCACCACAATAAAAACACTCAAATGAACTCCTAACATCAACCAAACAGACTATACGCCTAAAAATATTACATCGTAATAGTCTTTAGTTATGGCAGATGGTAAGATGGATATTGATATGTTCTTATAATAAAACATCAAAAGAAATAGTTTTTATTAAATCAGTGGTTACAAAAAATAATGTCATATAAAAATATTTTTTTAATATATATTTTGAAATTAAACTCATGATTTTCGATGTCGAAAACAAACAAAAACATACTAATTTGATCATTTGAGAATTTATATCTTTTATCCTTTGTAGAAAAGAAGACATGGATACGAGATAAATGATATACTATAACAAAATTCTCAGCTTTGGATCATTGATATGAATTATTTTCACTTGTAAACACAATAATACTATCGATTTGGATTAACGATGAAATTTAATCGTATCATGAGCTAATTTGTTAAGCAAAATAAGAACAACTAGAATACATATTATTTTTCAGCCTCTAAAGGACACTAAAATTTGGTTAGTAAAACACAGCAGGTGTGCAGGAAAGGTCAGAAACTCCATCACAATTTCTTAGCCATATAAATTTGCATGCCTAATTTTCAATCTGAACTTTTTCCCAATTCTAATGTAAGAATAGTTGGATTCGATTTAACGAGTAAAATATGCATGCTCGATAAAATCCAAATTGTTGTCAATTGTCATCTCCTAACATAATATAAATACCTAACAAATCTTTTATGATACTTAAGTGAAATATCGATTAAATGTCGAGATTTATAAAGCCGAATGCATAAAGAAACTTAAACTTTGCTAGTTGATATTGAAAA